CTGGGGAGGGGTCCCGGGGGGGTTCCTGAGCAGCGACACCCTCACGGTGGGGAGGGGTCCCGGGGAGGGGTCCTGGGGGGCTGGGGAAGGGTCCTGGGGAAGGTTCCTGAGCAGTGACACCCTCATGGTGGGGATGGAGAGGAACAGTGTCCTTGTGTCCCTGTGCCCCTGTGTCCCTGTGTCATTGTCACTGTGCCCCTGTGTCCCTGTCACTGTCCCTGTGTCCCTGTGTCACCGTCGCTGTCCCCGCACAGGTGTCCAATGTCTCGGTCCCCAACCAGACGTTTGCCGAGGCCATGTCTCTGTGTCCCTGTCCCTGTGTCACTGTCGCTGTGTCACTGTCCCTGTCCCTGTGTCCCTGTGTCACCGTCGCTGTCCCCGCACAGGTGTCCAATGTCTCGGTCCCCAACCAGACGTTTGCCGAGGCCGTGGCGCTGCCCGGGCTGGCTTTTGCCGCCGCCCGTTTCGATGGCGTCCTGGGCCTGGCGTTCCCCGCGGCCTCGGCGGGGCCGGCGCGCCCCGTGTTCGACAACATGATGGAGCAGGGAATGTTCCGGAACAACGTCTTCTCCTTCCACCTGCGCAGGTACGGCACACCTGGGGACACCGGGGACACCTGGGGCTGAACACACCTGGGGACACCTGGGAATACCTGGGACACCGGGGATACCTGGGGCTGAACACACCTGGGGCTGAACATACCTGGGGACACCGGGGACACCTTGGGACACCTGGGGCTGAACACACCTTGGGACACCTGGAGACACCTGGAGCTGAACACACCTTGGGACACCTGGAGACCCCTGGGGACACACATGAGGCTGAGGACACCTGGGGCTGGACACACCTGGGGACATACCTGGGGGTGCCTGGGAACACCTGGAGATACACCTGGGGCTGGACACACCTGGGGGCTCACCTGGGACCTCCCAAGGAGTGTCCCAGGGGGTATTTGGGGGTCCCATGAGTGTCCCAGAAGGGATTTGGGGTCCCGGGGGATCCCAGGGGGGGATTTGGGGGTCCCATGGGTATCCCAAGGAGAATCCTGTGGGGATTTGGGGTCCCATGGATGCCCCGGGGGGGATTTGGGGTCCCATGGGTGCCCCGGGGGGGATTTGGGGGTCCCAGACCCCACTGACGCCCCCCGTTCTGCCCCTGGGGTGCAGCGGGGCCTCGGAGGGCGATGGGGGGGAGCTGCTTTTGGGGGGCATCAACGAGGGGCTCTTCGAGGGACCCCTGCACTACATCCCCGTGTCCCGAAAGAGCTACTGGCAGGTGCACATGGACAGGTGAGAGCCCCCCAAATCCCCCCCAAATATCTCCTGGACACCCCCAAAA